CCATGTTGAATGAGACTAGACTTATTTTGCAAAGAAATTAGTCTCACTTTAATGATCTCTGATGGAAATGGGGGTGATTGTGAAAATATATGTTCTAGCAGGAAACTACAACACACCGTGTGGAGATCAGATTTCAGTCCTGCTCATTGTTTTGGAGGCTTGGTTCTCTATCTGGAAGCTGGACTGGAGACTGAGTTTTCATTGTTTCCTCCAGTGTTGTCTACGACTCCCCAAACGAATGTTCTCAATGTTCTCCCACCCTCTGACTTGAAATCACTGAGAAGTAAAACTGCCCTCTCCCAAGCCTTGCAAAGCTAAAGGTAGACAGCTTGATATCAACTTCAGAGGAATCGCAATAGCTCGTGTTTAGACTACCTTCATGCCCACTGGGTGGGCATCTCACAAAGTTTGCTGAAACACCTGATACAGTCCCCAGGGACAGTCAGCTACAAACAAGCGGAATCTGTCAGGTTCTACTGCTTGCCCTTACTCTATCTGAAGGCGTTTGGAGCCCAACAGCTAGAAATCTTTCCAACTGACCACCCTCTAGACTTAAAAACAGAGTTTAGAGTTTGTGCTAACCATTAACCGTTACTTTTCCATCGTCATGCCCGGACTGAGATACTTCTTCCATGGGTTAGGGGACAATCTAACTCAGTTTGTGGACTGTGAGACATCTTGGCGAAAGTTTCAGATATGGGGTTCGGGAAATGCTGCCCTCTACATATGGCATCTTGGAGAATGGAGTACACGAAACGCAAGGAGTGTGAGGACGTGGCAGAAGCAGGAAGGTCTCCCGGACAACCCTCACCCCGCCTTTTACCCTGACACAGGTCATAGATCTCCCATGTGAAAGCCACCCCCCGCGCCAGGAGGAAGGAGACAATCATATCACCAGGGCTGAGAAATCTACATAAACAAACCTTATTAACTAGCCCTTATCTTCCTAGTTACTTCTTAACAATTTACTAGCCCACGCCCTTCTGCCTTGCCAATCCTTCACACATTTGTTTCTCTACGTGAACGGTATAAACCCTGGCTACTTCTTTGGGTCTCTAGTCCCCTGTGAAAACTACCACGTACATGTAAAAATGGAATAGAACGTGTATGCTTTTCTCCTGTTGATCTGTCTTCTACCAGTTTAAATTTTCAGACTCAGCCAGGGACCTCTAAGAAGGTCAAGAATGACTTTCCCCCTAAAAAGTGAATCTTGGGGGACCCCAATTTCCATTCTGGAACTTCAGAATTTACAAACTGATACAGACTCAAATTTTGCCTGCTTCATTGAAACTAAATGGGAATTAACGGCCAACATTTTATAGTTAAGAGGTTTTAGAGAAAAATTCATATTTCTGCTTTGCATTGAAAACAGAATTATTGCCCAGTTTTGACGGTAGAAAATGGCAAGCTGGGAGCAACAGCTTCCTTTCTTCCTTAGTGGAAATTTGGCTCTAATGCCTACCAGGCCCACCTCTTTCACTTCCTCAGCTACTTAGCTCCTGGGGCCATGAGCTGGGCCCCCTATCCTGAGCCTTCCCTGAAGGGGCCACGCGGGGGGCCCAGCGAGTCCTCGCTGCCTTCCTCCTGTTCTCCCCACTGAGGTGGCAGCCATCGCCCCCAGCGTTGACTGCAGACCCCGCCCAGACGCTAGCCTATTTCTAGCACCCACTCGTGCTGGAGGTGCTGATACTGAGTTTAAGCGAACTGAACACATGGATTTTTATTGGCACGTACATTTGTTTTCTAGAAATTTCCTATGTTTCACAGCCTAAATTGACCTGAATCCATTGCTTTGCCTAGGCAATTCAAAAGCTTCTCCGTAAGTACAGTACCAGCAGCTACTGGGGGACATCTGTGTCAGATGATTAAGAAACACACACACACACACACACACACACACATATTTAAAATGTTCAGTTCTTCACCCGGCCAGTGTGGCTCAGTGGTTGAGCATTGACCCTGCCCCAAGAGGTCACCAGTTTGATTCCCAGTGAGCGCACATGCCCAGGTTGTGGGCCCGATCCCCCGTGGGGGGCATGCAGGAGGTGGCCAATCGATGTTCTCTACCTTCTCTCTCTCTCTCTCTCTCTCTCTACCTTCCTCTCTAAAATCAATCAATCAATCAATCAATCAATCAATCAATAAAATTTTTAGTTCCTCACCAAGGGCACAGTGATAAATTAAGCAACTAATTTAATCTTCCAAAGGCATTAGTTAAAAAAGCATTTTTGCTGCACATTAAAATCTGGTTGTACCGCAGACCAACTGAAACAGGGACGCGGGGTGTAGGGTTCCAACTCCAAATTCCTAGATGATTGCAAGGCACAGCCACGGTGTGGGACCTCTGCAAGGCATGCCTGCCCGACCTCCAAAGGTGTCCTCCTAGTTGATGAGTCACAGGCTCCCTTTGAGCCACAACTGACTCATCTATAAAACAGGAGTAAGGATGACCTAATTCACTGGCTAAACATAGAAGGACTATAAAGTGCTATGCAAATATGAATGAGCAATGACAATGACGACAGGAGAAAAGTACTGGTGGAAATGTAGTAGCCCGACTCATGCCTCGTCAACACAGGCTTGGAACATGTGGGCATATTATTCTCTCTTGCTTCTATTTTAATTACTTAAAAGTTCCGATTTCAGAATGTGCATCGCCTATCCCCAACAACACAGATGAATCCCAAATCATTATGCTGAATGAAAGAAGCCAGATACAAAAGACAAATGCTGTATGATTCTGTTGGTACAAAGTATAAATCAATCTATAATGACAAAAGAAGATCAAAAATTAGTCTTTTGGCCCGGCTGGTGTGGCTCACTGGTTGAGCATTGACCCACGCACCAGAAAGTCTCCAGTTTGATTCCCGGTCAGGGCACATGCCCAGGTTGTGGGCTGATCCCCAGTGGGAGGCATGCAGGAGGCGGCCAATCGATGTTCTCTCTCATGGATATTTCTATCTCTCTCCCTCTCCCTTCCTCTCGTTCTCAATTCAATAAAGAAAAAATATTTAAACAAATTAGTCTTTGGTGTTATGGAAATGTTCTATGCATTGATTGTGATGCTGGTCTCATGGGCATAGTCACTGTCAAAACTCATGGAACTGTACTCTTTTAACGGATGCCATTTGTTATGTGTACATTGGTCTTCAATAAAGTTGTTAAGAAGAAGACAAAAAAGAAACTTTACAGAAACCCAGTTAGAGAAAGTTATGAGTATTTTCTAATCTCATGTATCTTTAAATTCTGAATTTCTGAGAGAACATCAGCAGAACAAAGGTGAAGAAAAGACTATTAAAAAAAAGGAAGGGGATTTTCGGAGTGAGTCCTTGGGCTCTACAAGGGGCGGCGAGGGAAGCACAGTGTCAGCACCTTTGTGCTGAGGAGGAGGAGAGAGCGCCGCAGCCCACCCCCTGTCTGCAGAAAGCCCGCCGCCGTCTGCAGAAAGCCCACCCGCCGTCCGCAGAAAGCCCACCCGCCGTCTGCAGAAAGCCCACCGCCGTCTGCAGAAAGCCCGTCCGCAGAAAGCCCACCGCCGTCTGCAGAAAGCCCACCGCCGTCTGCAGAAAGCCCACCGCCGTCTGCAGAAAGCCCACCGCCGTCTGCAGAAAGCCCACCGCCGTCTACAGAAAGCCCACCCTCTGCAGAAAGCCCGCCGCCGTCTACAGAAAGCCCGCCCTCTGCAGAAAGCCCACCGCCGTCTGCAGAAAGCCCGCCGCCGTCTACAGAAAGCCCGCCCTCTGCAGAAAGCCCACCGCCGTCTGCAGAAAGCCCACCGCCGTCCGCAGAAAGCCCACCGCCGTCTGCAGAAAGGCCACCCGCCGTCCGCAGAAAGCCCGCCCTCCGTCTGCAGAAAGCCCACCACCCTCTGCAGAAAGCCCGCCGCCGTCTACAGAAAGCCCACCGCCATCCGCAGAAAGCCCACCGCCCTCTGCAGAAAGCCCACCGCCGTCCGCAGAAAGCCCACCGCCGTCCGCAGAAAGCCCACCGCCGTCTGCAGAAAGCCCCCCGCCGTCTGCAGAAAGCCCCCCGCCCTCTGCAGAAAGCCCACCGCCGTCCGCAGAAAGCCCACCGCCGTCTGCAGAAAGCCCACCGCCGTCTGCAGAAAGCCCACCGCCCGTCTGCAGAAAGCCCACCGCCGTCCGCAGAAAGCCCACCGCCGTCTGCAGAAAGCCCCCCGCCGTCTGCAGAAAGCCCCCCGCCCTCTGCAGAAAGCCCACCGCCGTCCGCAGAAAGCCCACCGCCGTCCGCAGAAAGCCCACCGCCGTCCGCAGAAAGCCCACCGCCGTCCGCAGAAAGCCCACCGCCGTCCGCAGAAAGCCCACCGCCGTCTGCAGAAAGCCCACCGCCGTCTGCAGAAAGCCCACCGCCGTCCGCAGAAAGCCCACCGCCGTCCGCAGAAAGCCCACCGCCGTCTGCAGAAAGCCCACCGCCGTCTGCAGAAAGCCCACCGCCCGTCTGCAGAAAGCCCGCCCTCTGCAGAAAGCCCACCGCCGTCCGCAGAAAGCCCACCGCCGTCTGCAGAAAGCCCACCGCCGTCCGCAGAAAGCCCACCGCCGTCTGCAGAAAGCCCACCGCCGTCTGCAGAAAGCCCGCCCGTCTGCAGAAAGCCCACCGCCATCCGCAGAACGCCCGCCCTCTGCAGAAAGCCCACCGCCGTCTGCAGAAAGCCCATCGCCGTCTGCAGAAAGCCCACCGCCGTCTGCAGAAAGCCCGCCCGCCGTCCGCAGAAAGCCCATCGCCGTCTGCAGAAAGCCCACCGCCGTCCGCAGAAAGCCCATCGCCGTCTGCAGAAAGCCCACCGCCGTCTGCAGAAAGCCCGCCCGCCGTCCGCAGAAAGCCCATCGCCGTCTGCAGAAAGCCCACCGCCGTCCGCAGAAAGCCCACCGCCCTCTGCAGAAAGCCCACCGCCGTCCGCAGAAAGCCCGCCGCCGTCTGCAGAAAGCCCACCGCCCTCTGCAGAAAGCCCACCCGCCGTCCGCAGAAAGCGCAGCTCTTACCAGGTACTTTTTGCCGCAGTTCTCACCCTGGCAACATCCGTGGCTGTGCTCGCTCTCCAGGACCAGCAGGGCTGCGGCCACCAGCAGCATCTGCAGGGGAAGGGGGCGCGTTAGCACGGGGGTGCTGGCTGGCAGTCCCGCTCACAGTCCGAGCCAGGGGCTCAGAGCACTGATTCTGGGCCAGTGGCTGTGGGGTCGCACCCCAGCTCTGCCGCTTTCTACCTGCAAACCCAGGAGTCCTGCCTAGAAAACGGTGGTGTTAGGGTATTATGAGATAATTCGGTACAGTTCCGAACATAGTGCATGCTTCAAGCAAGTGGTGGGTAAATAAATGTTCGCTGTTATTATCATGGTTGATCAGTCATCAAAAGCGAACAATCAAAGAGTAGTAAGTGGAATGGACGTGGGAATCCCCCCGGGCAGCAAACCTGCATTTCTCGCTGACCCAGTTGTAGAAGGAGAAGGAAAACCCTTCCCAGACTAGTGTGCAGCCTCCCTCCATGTACTGCTGCCTGGGATTGCGGGTGAGGGGCTGGTGAACCTGAACCCACACTCTTCATTCAAAAGTCAGTCCATGCCCGGCCGGTGGGGCTCAGTGGTGGAGCGTTGACCCATGGACCAAGAGGTCGCCGGTTCGATTCCCAGTCAGGGCACATGCCCGGGTGGTGGGCCAATCCTCAATGGGGGGCGTGCAGGAAGCGGCCAGTCGATGTTCTCTCCCATCGATGTTTCTCTCTCTCCCTCCCTCTCCCTTTCTCTCTCTCTAAAATCAATAAAGAAAAAAAAAAGTCAGTCCATTCCCCCAGTATTCAAGCCATCTCAGCACACATTTTCCAGAATGTTTTGTTTGTAGTAAGCCAATAAATTCTACTTCCTTTTTTTTTTTTTTTTTTTGTATCTTAGGCAAAGGATTGTACTTTTATGCTGGAAAGACATGAATTTCTTCATTTGTACAGTTCCTGGTTGGGCAGGTATAGAACACGTATTGCTTCTGGCAAATCCCCCCCCCCCCCGCCCTTGACTCCCCCTGTCCTGAAGCTGTGTTCATTGTTATCTTTATTGATTGTAGTCAACATTTCCAGCCTCCAAATTCCTTCAGTCTTTATTTATTTAGCAATCATCTTACCATTTACCTATATTCCTCTCCTTCCTCCTAAAAGGATTTGATGCAGTCACAATAATGTTTTTCAACAAAGTCTTAGAGAATAAAAAATAGAGAACAGGTTCTTGCCCTACTTTTAAATTTTACGTGACTATAAGCAAAAGAGTCCTATGTTGCTCTCCTTTCAACACATCAGTTACCACAGATTTTAGTAGATTTTAACCCCATCCTGCCCTGCAGCCCTCCCATCGACTACAACTGCGGGAGAGAGAAGGACCAACAGCCACAGACAGCGACCGGCTGCAGAGTAAACTACTGGCAGAAATGACCAACCGTAGGCCCCGGAGGACTGTGCCAAAAGAGGAACATCGGCGCGGCCGTGGTGAAACACAACTGCTTTCCTTTTTTGTTGTGAAATATAACTGCAGTGCAGAGCGCTCGAGGATGGGGGGGAGTTACCCACAATTCCACCACCCTCCCTGGTTTTCACGTAGGGATCCCCAGTGTCTTCCCACCTGTGTCTATTTTAACATAGTTGCCATCACAACTTATTCACAGTGTTATGTCTCTTTTTTCACTTACAGAATGTTCATTTCCCCAGTTGTTAGAGCGTCATCATTACCATTTCCATCACCATGTAAGTGTGAATGTATCACAGCCGATTTGGCCACTTCTGTATAGGACGCTTCTTGTTCTTCACTCTGCTAAGTACGGCTGCCACAAACATCCGTGTGGACACCTCTTTCCTTATTTTGGATGATCTCCTCGGGGTGAATTATCAGATGGAGGATTCCTAACTCAGAAGACCAAGCATTCCCGTGGATCTTAATATATCGTTTCAAAATCTTTCCAAAAGTTTGCTTCTAGTGTAGAACCACGAAAATAAATCGTAGGTACCTATTATAGAGCAGCTTCAGGAGCATTGGTTATTAATTTTAAAGTTCACTAATATGCAGAACAGGAACAAAATGAAAACTGTTTTCCAACATCACTAGTCAAATATTATAATCATTAACCTCCGCAAAGATGTAGCGATGGATTATATTGGATTTTCTTTAAGTTATTGGTGGCATAGAAGGCTCCCCATGCACAACGTGTTGTTTTTTAGTGAGGATGTGACCAAGAAAAGTGTCTTTTCCTGTGAGCTGCCCACGTGATCTATTTTTTAAACAAAAAGTCGTCAAGAAAACACTCATGGATTCTTTCCGTGCATAATCTGATTGTTTTTCAAAAATGCCCTCCATTATTGGGGGTATAACGTCACACTATTTAACCATGCTATGTCCTATTCTTTAATAAGTACTTCTAATCACAATAGTCGCTGGCTACCTACTAGAAGTCAGTCTGTACTGGACGCTTCATACACGAGATTTTATTCAATCCCCACAATTCCCCAAAAAGTAAAGGTCGTCGTCCCCATTTTCCAAATAAAGACAAGACACTGTGTAAGTGGCCCAAGGTCTCGTGGCACAAATAACAGAGTTTAAATCGAGTGCAAATCTGTCCGAATCTCCACGTCTCTGCTTTTCCTACGCTGTCTCCGTATCAAGCCAGAGAAATCGTCAGCACAGGTAGAAAATCTGGAGATTAAATAACGTGGACACACAGAGGTCACGAGGACACGACATTTCGACAGGCCGGAGCCCCAGAAGTTCTTACTGGGATTAATTTCCTGCACAGCCGAAGCGCACAGAAGAGCAGTTTACCAAGACACAAAGCTGCTCTCCAATCCCCGAGGGACCGCCTGTCTCTCCACCCTCGCCCGTCTTCCAAACCCCAAACCCGGGATCAGTAGAATACTGTTATCATTATCGATTACTTTTCGTAGGTGCCAAGCAATTCCTACTCGAAACTTCCCCTCTTGTGATCTCGAGTCTCCCAGGTCCCACTTACCATGATCCCCGAGAAGCAGATGCCCTCGAAGTACCACACGTAGTTGGAGAGCTTATTGCTGGAGGCGTAGGAAGTCTGCCCGTTGGGGAAGTACAGCAAGATGTTCACGATGATGCTCCAGACTGCCAGGGGGATCAGCAGGCCACTGAGGCAGCTCCCACATTTCCGGGACCCCATCTCTCCCTGCCCCGAGCCTGCAGGAGACCGCAAGAGTGTAAAATTACATGAAGCCCAGGTTCGTCCTCCCTGTCTTCTTTTTTAAGTACCTACCACTTTCTGGGTCAGAGCCCTTCACTTCATATTCATGAGGAGCCAGGACTCAGGACCGAAGCCCACAGGCTCCCGGTGTGAAATAGAGGTTTACTGTTTGGAGAACAATAGACAATGATCCGGGACTGAAGAGCCCAGCTGGTCTTCATCCTGTGCCAGAGGAATGCGGTGTTTTCACTGCTTTGAAAATAAGTCATTTTCCTCTGGATCACAGCGCTACAGACTTAACCCTGAGCCAGTCTAAGAAGGAAGTCGGGCTGGGGTGACGCTGGGTCTGGCAGATCTCATGCGACAGTGGAAGGAGGTTAAAGACAAAGCTACCAAGGGGGCTCCAGCCGGCAGGCAGGGGGTATGTTTGCTCAAATATCGGCCTTTATATTCCTGTTTTATATTCCTTGTTCTTAATGTGAGCTCCCTCTTCAGCGGGCATTGTTCACACTGCAGGGGGCACAAAACAGACAAGATTGGCGGCTGAGAAAAACAAGCCAAACAGAGAAAGACAAATATCACAGGATCTCACTTATCTGTGGAATATAATGAACATAACAGTCTGGGGTAGTCCCAGAGACGTGGAAGTGGGGTACAGACTGACAATCCCCAGGAGAGGGGATGTGGGGGGAGATAAACCACAGAACTCATATGCATGTGTGCATGAACAATGGACATGGACAACAAAGCTGGGGACAGGGCGGGGAGGGAGGGGGAGGGGGGTGTCAATGGGGGAAAAGGGAGAAACATCTGTAAGAGAAATAAATAAATGAATAAATGAATAAATAAATAAAAAAGGGAAAGAAGACATCACCTCTGCCGAGTGTACTGTTATAACACCAAGACAGCTTTCTTTCAAGAGTTTGTGCTTATTTTCTCTACCTCTCTGAAAAATACCAACAGGGATAAATCCACATCTTTCTTACTGCTTAGGAAAAGGGAGTAAGAAAAACTGGGTAACTTGATTACGATTTCATGAGTGGTAAGTCTGAGGCAAGGATTTACGAATTCTTCCTTGCAAGTCATTGCCCTCAGCGTAAAGAGCCCCAGATCCCCTCTGGGGACATGAGAACAGCACTGAGGGGAGGAACCTTGGGGACAACATGGTGGCGGTGATGTAGACAGCGGGGGTCAAGAATTCAGGCTGCGCCCCCCCCCCCAATGCCCACATTACTGGTAACCTCGGGACCTCAGAACCCTTCTCAGCTTCACTTTCTTACGTCTCAACTATCTCAACTGTAAAATGGGAATAAAAATGGTACTTTTCCCACAAGGATTATGTGTGCAATTAAATGAGATTATTATGCAGTGTCAGGTGATATGGAAAAGGGAGGCAATAAATGGAAGTCATTATTCATAATAAAAAGAGCAGCCCAGCCGATGTGGCTCAGTGGACTGGGCTGCATTCCATGGGCTGAGAGGTCCCGGTTCAATTCCCGGTCAGGGCACATGCCCGGGGTTGCAGGCTCCATCCCCATTAGGGGGCGGGTGGGAGGCAGCTGATTGACGTTTCTATCTCTACCTCCCTTCCTCTCTCTCTAAAAATAAAAAATAAAAAAAATACTTGAAAAAAAAAAAGAGCAGTTATAGGGATATAAATAATACGGAAATCAGAAGTAAAGTCTTCTTATGATGTCCTCTTAGATACAGAGTTCTGTATCATGAACTCTTAAAATCTTGATCCCAGAAATACTTACATTTAATTTGTTTTTGGCCTCCAGAAAATATTAATACTATGTAACATATATACTTTTAATTCAAGAGAATAAAAACTTATTTTTATATGAATAATCCTAAATTATACTAATACTTTTTTAAAAATTGAGATACTTGGGACCACTTCTGGATGCAAACAAAACGACCCTAGAAAAGTACATTGTGAGGGGCTCCAAAGGGGTTTCTTGGCCCCTGTGATGGATGGGACCTTTTTTCCTTTAGTTTTTTTTTTGAGCAAAGTGCATCAACAAAGTCTCTTTATTCAATCCCCCCTTCCCCCCGCCCCAGGGACATAGAAGTGACCTACAGTCGTATTTACTAAAGCCCGTGGGACGATGGGGGGAGCAACACCACTTTTGGCTGAATATTTGTTGAGTGCTCTGTGCCAGTCTCTCTTTGAAGAGCTGAGGAGAGATCACTGGACACCCAGCCCCCAGCCCTGGCCCTCACGGAGCTTACATTCCCCTATAGGGAAGACTAACAATAAACATGGGTGGGTAGAACATAGAAACATATGGCCCGTCAGAGAGTGCTAAGTGCAGCTGCAGCAAATCCAAGGACAGCTAAGAGTGCCAGAGAATGAGGGCGAGGCTGGCATTTCTTGCGGGTGGTCCAGGAAGCCCTCTTGGGGGTCCTAAGGCAGTGGAGGGAGGGAGCCCTGCAGAGGACTTGAGGAAAAGCATTGCAGGCAGAGAGCAGCCCCCGCGTCCCAGCCCGAGGGAGCAGCCAACCACAGCAAGGAGGCCAGGCAGCTGGGGCTGGAGCCAAGGGGGGAGGGGAAGAATAAGGATACCCGACACCAGTGTCCAGTAGAAAAGGGACTTGATGCGTTAAAAGGCTGCTGCATTGTGAACAGGTGGGAAAGGGTACCTGTGAAAGAAAGGAGGTGGGTTCTGGGGGGGAAGACGAGGTGGTCGGTTTCAGGTGTCCCAGGTTTTAAGATAACCTATTTGAAATCCAAGTGGACAGGCCAATCAGGCGGTTGGACACACACATCCCAAGTTCGGGAAAGAGGTCTGGGATGGAATACATGAGGGTTGTCAGCGTATAAGTGGTATGTAAAGCCATGAAACACCATGGGAAGGAGTATAGATAGAAAAGAAGTCAAAAGACTAAATCCTAGGCCGTCCAATAAATTGAGTTTGGGGAAATGCGGAGGCTAATTCGTGGCCCGTGAGTAGGGAGAAAAGCAGAGAGCTTATCCGGGACGTCGAGTTTCCAGGCGAGGAGGAAAGTGATCAACCGAGTCGACCGCTGCCTATTCCACAAGTAACATGGGAGGACCGAGGACTGGCTGCTGGGTTTAGCGACGTGACGGTCACCTTGACCCTGATAAGAGGAGCTTTGGTGGTGAGATAGACAGGAGAGCCCAGCGAGAAGGGGTTCGTGAGAGAATGAGAAGAGAGGAATCGGAGACAGAGAGAAATGGTTCCTCGGAGAGTTTTTCTGTCAAGCAGAGAAATGGGGCAGCCCCTGGAGGGAAAGTGGGAGCCGGGGGGGGGAGTTTAATGGGAAGAATGATAACGTGTTTGTATACTGATGGGAATGTTTGGTGGGGCGGGGATTCCAGGAAGGTGGGGATCGCCGACCCAGGAGAGAGAAGAATGGCTGGAATGGTGAGTGCCCCGGAGTGAACGAGAAGGGGTGGAGCAGGTGCACGTAGAGGAGCCGGCCTTGGACCGCAGTGTGGGCGGTTCCTCTGGAAACAGAGGGAAGACGGAGCACAAGGGCCTGGAGCTAGTGGGAACTTCTGATTGCTTCTGCTTGTCTCAGTGACGCGGAAAGCAAGTTTGTCGCAGAAAGAGAGGCCAGGGGGAGGGTATTAGAGATTTGGAGAGAGAAGGGAAGATGTGAAACAGTTGCCTAAGAAAGGTGTATGGGGAATGAATCTTGAGAAGTGTGGCAGGATTACTAGCTGGCACCGAGGGCCCACTTGAGGTCGTGAATTTATAGTGAGACTGGGAAGCATGGTTGAGTGTCCTCCCTCCTGAAGCTTAGCTGTAGAGGTGTGGGCAGTAGGCAGAGTAGTAAGAAAGCTGGAATCAATCAGGATTGGGACCGCGCCAGGCAACTACCATGGAGAAAGGGATGAAGGAATCAAGAATATAAGTAATAGCCTGGCCAGTGTGGCTCAAGGGATTGAGCATCATCCCATGGACTGAGGGGTCCTGGTTTGATTCCCGGTCAGGGCACATGCCCGGGTTGCGGCCTTTATCCCTAGTGGGGTGTGTGCAGGAGGCAGCTGATTAATGTTTCTCTCTCACATTGGTGTTTCTATCTCTTTCTCTCAAAAAAATCAATAAAAACATTTAAAAAAAGAATATATGTAATAGAGTGATTATAATGATAGACTGTGGGGCTTAATCTGAGTAAGGACATGAGAGAATGTAAGTAACAGTAAAAAAGGGGGGGGTTGGATTTGTAGTTTGTGTGTCTTAGTGTGGTTGAAAAATTACTGGGTTTGGGTAACACAGAGAGAAAGAACTGGAAAGATAAAATTCAGTGATTAAGAAGTAGGACCCTGGAATTTGAGATTAAGATGTCTTGAGAATTGGTGACGACAAAGTCTGAAGGTATGCTATAAGCTGAACTGTGTTCTCAAAATTCATATGTTGAAACTCTAGTTCCCATAAATTAAGATTGTGACTATATTTGGAGATAGGGCCTTTATAGGGGTGATTAAGTTAAAATGAGGCCGTTAGGGTGGGACCTAACCCAATCTGACTGGTGTTCTTATAAGAAGAAATGTGAACATGCAGAGAGCTTCTGGGGGTACCTGTGTACAGAGACAGAGCCGCAGGAGAGCACAACAAGAAGGTGGTCCCCTGCAAGCCGAGGACAGAGGTCTCATGAGCGGCCAGACCTGCTGACATCTTGATCTTGGATTTATAGCTTCCACTGCTGTGAAAAATAAGCTCATGCGGTTTAGACCGACTCTGCAGTGCTCATTATGGACACAAGGTGTGACCATGGGTGGGACTGGGGATGAGGTAGGGTGGAAGGCAAGAGGACTGGAAAAAAGAAACTGATGGAGTTGGGTATTGGGATGACTACTTAGAATGAATATGAAAACCAACAATCATAACAACGGGAGCTTTGGCGAGAATGACTACACTTAGAGAGCCAGGAGCTGGACGCTTCCAGAAGCAAAGGAAGTAACCTCGAGATGGAGTGAACTGTGGGTGGGAGATGACAACAAGGTAATCCAGTGAAATGCACAAGCTCTTCAGCCAATACTCAACCATCTCCTCTCCCATCAACTTTGAAGCCAAACTGTTCACAATACTGAAAATGTTTGATTTGGCTTTCAGTTGTCCTCACCTTGAAACTTCTTGTCATAGAAAGTCTAGCACGTGCTGAAA